ACACCCACACCCACACCCCACACCCACACCCCACACCCACACCCTTTTGTATTTTTTTCGTCTAGAAGAACATGTTTAGTTGTAAGACGCGACAGAATCTTTTTTAGTTTGTTATTTTTTCATGTGAAGAAGGTCAAAGTTGAACTCTATTAGCTAAGATTCGGTCTTGAAGATGTGCCTAAAAAAGTAATTACATAAAACGTCAGCAGGACTAGATTAAAATGATTTTTTGTGACATAAAACAAAGAACTATTACGGCAGTAAAAGATAATAATAATTATGTTGAACAATGACAAGTAAATGGTTTATGTGACAAGGATTAAAATGCTACTGGTGAAATCATTTTCATGAAGTCAAAAATAATCATTATAATGGATCCCCGAACATGCATTTTTTGGCATTATTTGTGACTTTTTGACACCATTATTTTTTGTACAATTCAACTGCATTTTAATGCCATTTTTTCATTTTTATCCCTGCCTGGGTTGGTATCTACAATTTTCCTGTACAAAATTTTTCTATCAAAAACTATTGAAATGACCCGATATTATCGATGTAAATTGCTATTGGTTAAAAAATACAACACACTTTCTTTGTGATATATTTCCACATGGGTAGATAGAGTTCACTGAGCTCTACAAGAATATGTGTGTGAAAAAGTTTCAAATGGTCTCTGAGTAATAAAAATTTGGAAAAACCTTGAAAAAACTCGATTTTTTCAAATATTGATAGAAAACGCTATATGAGAGTTGCAATGACTAAAGAAATTCGTTTGAGAATAGTTATGTTTCGTTTTTCTCGCAGACTTGCTATTTGGTTGTTGTTGTTGTTGTTGTTGTTGGCTGTACTATCATGATGGTAGTATATATATACTAGCGTCCAGAGATAACAAATTGTAATGAAGACGAGCAGAAGACACATTGTCAATGAAAAGTAGACGAGAGGATACAATTGTCGTCCAGAGACATAACAAATATTAGCATCAGTGGCATATTCGATCCAACCATCAATGAGGAGAAATGGTAAATTGCTGACAAAGAGCAGTACTGTAAATATAGAACCGTCTGCTGTGAGAAAGTGTTCGGTTCTTTGAAAACCTGACTCGACGAAGACCGTAGAATGATTGAAGACAGAAGGAACAATAGAGTGATGCATTAGTCACGATGGCAATATAGCCTATTGATTCGATGCAGTTGATGTTAACAGAACAATAAGTTCAACAGATAAAAGAATTTTAGAAAATAACATAATTATGATCAACAAGAGGGATATGGTTATTTTCTTCTTCTGTTGTTTGTGTCGAATTAAAATTAAAATCAAAGTTAATAGTGAACCTAAGAAAGTTAGAGATGCATTCAGGATTATAGCAATGCTGCCCGAGGAATAAACCATTATCATTCACTTTGTCTTACACTGTCAGTGAAAGTAAAATAACGAAGTCGAGTTAACTGAATGAAATCGTCTCAAAATAAAAAAGAAAAAGAAAATTTATCAGCCAACAAAAACTCTTTCCTAAAAAGGATGACAATTTAATTTCGATCTACTTTTGTCTTCTCAAGCATATCTTTCTGCGTCAATAAGATTTTTATTCATTCGAAAGTAATGTGAAAAAGGGACAACAATGAAAGACACAATTAGATGCTTCCGCCTGTGACATAAACTGTCACATCTCTACAGAACCAGTAAGTCATCGTCACTATGCCAGAGGAGAAAATTTTCAAATAGAAAAAGCTTTTCTTTTTATTCATTTGAAAGTAGTGTTGAAAGAGACAATTAGATGATTCATTCTGCTACAGAAAGTGTCACATCTTTCATCTCTTAAAAGAAAACGACGGGTCTCAGCACTTGAAATGAAAATGCTGCTAGACTGATTTCATGTGGAATATAAAGAAAAAGACGAACAAACGCACAATAAATACACAAAATAATCTTGAGAGTGTGAATGGGTGTCTGTTTGATCCACCTTAGTCCCATCTCTTCACCCGTATCCTCACACCCTCTCTTTTCGTTCTTCTATATTTATAAATGAGAATAGATTATGTCGAAAAACATCTAGTTTATCATTATTCATACAAGTCGATTTGTCCTATTCTGAAGTTTGTTTTCCACCATGACAAGCTAGATAAAAGTTGATCACCGAATGATAGCACGAGTTAATGCCACAAATGAATTCCTTTGTAATCTATTTTCATTCGAGCATTTGTAACTGTGAAGAACGAACGAGTTACGAGGAAGAGAAATGCAATTTGCTACTCATGTGGCAAGTGATATTCGATGCTATCAATGAAGTCCAATACCATTTATCGCATGATAAGCAATTGTAATTGAAAAAAGTGAAAGAGAGATTTCATTTTATAGGTCAAAATTTCACTTCCATCTATTTGCTAAGGAAGAGTGATGTCTAGTCATTGCCTATAAACGTCTTCACACTTTCCATCACCTTCTTACATTAAAATAAGGATCAAAATGAAATATCACCAATCAAACGTCGTTGCTTTCCTGTGGTTTTTCTTCGGATTCTCATTGATGATTTTAGTCAAATCAGAAAAAACGTCCGATCCATTCTACGTAATTGCACATATGGCCAATAATCGAAAGACGCTTAATTGGGCAGTGTCACAAGGCGCTAATGGAATCGAGAGTGATTTTCAATTCAATGATGATGGAAATCCGACTATTGTTGAGCACGGCGGTGGTATCATATGTGACTGTATATGTCCCGTTGGAAAAAATCATATTTGCCATAATGGACTTGGTGGACAATGTCAAGGATCCAAAGCTAGCAATGACGCCGCAGCACACGTGCAGCATGTTGCACGTCTTAAAGGTGTCGCTCTGTTTATAGTCGACTCCAAAGTGGAAGCTAAATGGGGAGGTCGACTTATTAAAGCGGGAGCAGCTATTGTTCCTTTTCTAGACAAAAATCTCTTTAAATATGGTTACAAGGGAAAAGTCGTTATTGGAACTTCAAAAATGAATACATACGATTATATTCAAGCTGCAGTTGTCGCAGCGAACAGTTCAACGAATAGAGAAAGGTATTTCTTCACATTTGATGGAGCAGGTGATGATTACAACGGTGCTATGACAACTCTTTCTCGTTTAACAAACAATCGTGTGTACGGAACTGGTATTACTTCTTGTCTCGGAGAAACTTTTTATGGTGCTATTGAAGCTGCCGTTGCCGGTAAAATGAAAGCCGAAAATGGTTTGACTTACATCTGGACTCTTGACAAAGAATCTTCCATGCAAAACTATATTAATCGTGGTGTTCAAGGTATTGTAACAAATCGAGTCGGTCTAGCGAAAAAAGTAGCAATTTCGATGAAACTAACAATGGCGAAACCCTCCACTCCAATTCCTGTTTCAAAGTTTTCTGAATCCTCCATAGGCAAATGTGATTGCGACTATCATCCAGGTGGCTGTATCATCTCTTGGCCTGCACCAAGTGGGAAAGCGTGTCAATGTACATACAAACTACTCTGGACTTGTGAGGGTTCTCTCGTGGCCTGTGATGCTTCTCTTCCAAAATGTTCCAAGCCCGATGAATCCAAAGAAGCGTGTGAGCTTGGAAAAGGTGACTGTAATGGGTATTAAAATGGATAAGGCTGAAGAAGGACGAGAATAGTATGGTCGTGCTGTTCTTTTTCCTCATGTGTTTCTTTCTTCTCTCTCTGCCGTCACATTATTCATGTTTCCTTTTTCGTTCATTAGCAGAATAAATCATAAATATGGAAAAACATAATAGAAAACTCGATTCTTTTCGTTAATCCGTCGTCTCGGAACTATACAGTATCTTCTCAACGGTCAAACGTCATCTGTTCCAACTGTAAACAATTAGGTTACTCGGTATGATTTTACGATTCTCTTCGAATTCACAAAACTAAGTGCTACTCTGCTAGATTGATTATTCATACGAATATCTCTCTCCAAGATAAGTCATTTGTGTAAATTATTCCAACCTGTCATGCTCAAATTTGGAAAGAACGGAGTTTGTCGAAGTTTCTGTTATTGAATTCCACAGATGTCTGGTACATTCCCTCTTTTATAAGAACTCATAGATTGACTAATGCATAATTCGACTCATGTGTCATATATGATTCATCAGCAAAAAAGAATCCGATAACTCACGCATTACTGTACAGGTAATAGGTACGAAGAAAAATGTCATGCTTCGTCGGTTTTATTGCTACATGGTTCGTGAGATACGCTTGTTGTACATAAATACAAGGCCTTCATAGAAAAGAAAAAACACCTACACAATCACTTGAGTTTCTCTTGCTACGTAATTACTAAGTATGAGTGCCGATCAATCTGAACGTGAGAGAACTGTGGCTGAATGGTATTTCCAAGGTGAATTAGGTCATAAAGGTCAACGGCCCAAACCCGAAGTTGCGCTTATTTACATGAAAACTCTTATTGATGTAGCCGCGACTGATGGAACACTTAGTGAGGAGGAACGAAAATAGATTGTAGGTTTTGCTACTACTTGCGGTAAGTCTGAATCTATTCGTTAACAGTTATTGTATTGCTAATTACATATTAAAGGGGCCATTCAAGTATTACGTAAGCAACTTTAGGGGGGAGAGGGGTCAGAAATTTATTACGCTTGGTTACTCCGGAGGAGGGGGTGTCGTCGAAAGATTACGTAATGATTCGAAAACAGCACTGTAAATTCGTCCTTGTAGATTGCAGCAGTATACTATCGATTAGATCGGTTCTATGAAAGACAAGACTAGCTCAATATCTTGAAAAACAAAGATATGCGTTCACAATGTACCTTCACCGAATATCTACAAAATTCTTCTTTTGGTTCCATCTCCGATTTGGGTCCAGGTTACGCCTCAAAGGTCGATCTCAGGCACGGTTGCCCGGGACTGAGACTACTCCTGCTGATTTCAGGTTGTAGTAGTGTCTCTCTTTGCGAAAGATATGAGCTGAGAACACAGCTCTGTTGTCAATCTGAAGCGTGAAAAGGATACTTTGCTGATATTTGGGCAGCAACATGTTTCAGATTGTAATGAAAAATATACATATATATCTAGGCATATAATCGTATATATATATATATGGATATATATCCGTTAATGACAAATGGAGAGGCACATTAAATGTCTTTGATCC